GGTCGAGAGAGGTTCTCCTCCCCCTCTACTCTGCCCTGGTGAGACCGCATCTGGAATATTGCGTCCCGTTCTGGGCCCCTCAGTTCAAGAAGGACAGGGAATTGCTGGAGAGAGTCCAGCGTAGGGCTACAAAGATGATCAAGGGAGTGGAGCATCTCCCTTATGAGGAGCGGCTGAGGGAGCTGGGTCTCTTTAGTTTGCAGAAGAGGAGACTGAGGGGAGACCTCAATGTTTATAAATATATAAAGGGTGAATGTCACGAGGATGGAGCCAGGCTCTTCTCGGTGACAAACAATGATAGGACAAGGGGTAACGGACACAAGTTGGAACACAGGAGGTTCCACTTAAATTTGGGAAGAAACTTCTCAGTGAGGGTAACAGAGCACTGGAACAGGCTGCCCAGAGAGGTTGTGGAGTCTCCTTCTCTGGAGACATTCAAAACCTGCCTGGATGCCTTCCTGTGTGACCTCATCTAGGTGTTCCTGCTCCGGCAGGGGGATTGGACTGGATGATCTTTTGAGGTCCCTTCCAATCCCTAACATTCTGTGATTCTGTGATTAAAGAATGATTTTTCTGACAACCACAGATGACGTGACCTGGGATGTAGAGACTGGAGGGAATGCTTTACCAGGGTGCTGGTTTAGCTCAGGAGCAGTGTCTGAGTCTCTTAGCATGTACTGTGCGTGCTAAGAAATAACCAGCGCCTACTCAAAAATGAAAAGGGCAGAGAAGGGAAATTAAGCAGGATTCCCAAATTATTTCTGTCTATTTAATTCATGCTTTGAAAAGCTCAGGCTTCAGCAGTGATGTTTACACATGTATGTTCCTTAGTCTCTGCTAATAATGATTCTACCTATGTTGTACTTGGCAGACAGACAGCATTTGTTCAAGGGGGTTCTTGCCAGTTGTGGCTGTTTAAAGTGCTTTTCAGTAAGATCCCAATTAAATGCTTTATTAATATTTATTATTCACTGGTTGCAGTTGTTGTTAACATGCTTTTGCCCAGGAGGGCTTGTATGAAATGCAGCAAGGTGTTAATTGCTGGGGAGGGGAAAAAATGATTCTTCAGTTGCTTGTGTTCATTGTGTTGTGTGGAAGTGCTGACACAGATCCAGTGTGCGAATGGTGACCATTCCCGTTCAGTGAATTCCCCTCCCAGGACCCGATGTAGCATAACTGGCAGGCTCTGATCGTGTTTGTTCAGCAGCGAGAGGAGTGGGCAGCAGGGCTGGCACAGCTTCAGTTCTGTCAATGTTTCACATAAAGCAAATATTTCCAAAGGTCAGTCTCAGAAACTGAGGACATTTTGCGCAGTGTGTGTTCCTCTTGGTCCAGTACTGTGCCATGAGAAACAGCTGCCACCTCTGAGACAAATGAAAGAGCTGAATTTGGCTTGGCCTTTCAATCACAGTAGTTCCTAGATGTAGTGGATCAAGTATGAAACGTGAGCAGTGAAAGCCCTCAGAACTGGACATGAACTTGAGTGAACGACTGGCAGCTTGTTTGGTGAAACTCCTGATGCACAGATGCAATAGTGTGGCCACAAGCCCAGACGACAGAAGTGTTTAAAGCATTTCCCAAATCAAAGTTTTAAATGAACACAATCTCATTCCCCCGGTCACTGTTGGTTATACCAAGCATGGTTTTCAAACACCTGAGCTGACTAATTTCCATCAGCCACACTCCACTTGAGTTAACACAATAGCATGTTTTTATTCAAGTGGGAATTGTTCCTTTTTGTTAATATTGCTGTGTAAAATCGCTGTGGCCTTGGAGCAAACTCTCCTCTCTCTGCTATCAGGAGTGAGTGTGAGAGAAAGGCAAGGCTTCCTAACGTGAAGTTTGGTAATCCAAGTGTTTGAATAAAATGCCCAAAATACTGGATTTAGACACCTCTCTCTGGCCATCTCGACACTGCAGATTAAACCAACTCTACAGCTGGTAAACATTGATATCTCTTTACTTAGTCCTGTTGGGTCTTAATTGATAGGGCTTATTTATGTATACAAGGAGATTTTCACATGATTGCTGCATTGAAAATATTGGTATTCATTTACAGGAACAAATTTGACTACTAACATTGGTTGTATTTTTTTCATCGATTTAAATAAATTTTAGAGTTTGTAAGCACAATTATAATATATTCTTTATAACTAAACAGATTCATTTCATGTTTAGACTGAAATCAAAGAAGTAGTTTGACTGAGCAAAGGTTGAGGAAGTGATTCTTTTTCAGATATTTAGGACTCGATTCTGCTTGTAAAAATTGAGGAGCCACTACAGACAGTGATACAAATTTTGTTAATTAACCTGACAGGAGTTGGCACAAAAGGGGAAGTAATTTGGTGGTGGGTTAGCTGTATCTAGTTAAAACACGTAAATTTGTGTTCCAGGAAAATATTCTGGAACTGATTAGGGTCAGAGGGGACAATGTGCAAGGCCACTCGATTGGCACAGAGGACATGTCCTGCCATGGCTGAGAGTTGGAGGAACCCAGCGCAGCCAGTAACAAGGCAGACTTTCCTTTCAGGCCAGCCTTCCCCAGGTGCACTATAAAGTAGATTTGCAACTCTTGTCATGCATCAAGGCATGGCATGTGAGTCTGCACTTGGCTCCTTGTCTTGACACAACATCTGAGAGTGGCTGGAATAGAAATGAGAGCATCATTTGCTGAGATGGCATATGTTTTCATTAATACGCAATCTTGCACCTTTTAAAAGGATAGATAGCAGTTTCAGGATTGAGCCTCATACACAGTGAGTAGGCACAGTGAAAATTAATTTTTTATAATTATCTTGAATGCTAAACCCATCTGCCAGATACAGAGTGGTGCTGAACATTGCTTGCTTCATTTTTCTGTGGGGAAACTAATTAAAAGATTATAACTTCTGTGTTATATAGTTGTTCAAAATATATTGGTGGCACTACTTGCCATTCAAACTTCATCATGTTGCAAGAAGCAAAGGGAAAGCACGCTGATACTTCCCTCTCTTTGGGATTCAGTTCATCTCATTCACTTTCTAATCTGATCTCTCAGGATATCAAACGAGTGCTTCTGTTTATTAATGAATGCCCAATGTTAAATGAAAGTTATATGAAACCCAACATCCAGCAATGATCAGGTTTACTTTGTGCAAGGTCTTTTTGGCAATGCCCCAGAGAATTCATGTTTGATGTCCAAAGGAGACTTGAATTGTCCAGTTGTGTAATAGAAACAGTTTTGGCATACTTCAGTGGCTGAATTGAGAAGTCATTGTTTCTGTGTATTTGTAAATAAAGTCCTCTTAACAAAGGTGCTGAGAAACATTTACTGTTAGCTGCATCCTACACTGTCCAGGTGAAGTGGGAGTTTCCACCCACTGCAAATTAAGGCTGAGCTCTTTAAAACCAACAATGTAATATAGAGGATCCCATGTTTTCCTCTTGCTGCTAATTGAGACTGACCACCATCTGCTTCTCGGCACCACTGCGGTTTCTGGTGATGAGTCACAGCAGTCACAGTGGCCACGAGGCACTGCTTGGACACTTCCACTCACTACTTCCCATCACTACCGGGATCAGGTTTTGTATATAGTTAAATATCCTTTATCCCTTATTAATTCCCTTTTCCTTACCCCCTGTTTTTTTTCATTAAACTTTTTTACAGTTTTAACTTCCAACCTTGTGCGAAGTATCTTTTTCTGTATTCCCCTTTTTTTTAATCCTCCCCTGGGGCGGTAGGGGACAACAGAGAGAAAATCCTGCTCCCTGGACTTGCCATGAGCCTTAAACGGAGAGAGTGCTATTTATTTGAAAGAACTGTGAACTAAAGAGAAGATACTGTTTCATCTTAAATCTCTAAGTATGGCTATTTAATTACACATTGTAGCTTGGATAGCAAAGAAACCATCTGTCATGAACTGCGCTTTTTAGCAAATAATTGTCAAACATAAGAGGTCCAGTGCTTTAAAATTGTCCATCCCTTGTTGACTTGTGTGACAGGTGAGAGTTAGTAATCTCCACTATTATTTTAGTGCTGTAGTGTAGTAATTAAAAGGTAGTGTAGTGTGTAGTGATTAATCAAATCCTCCTTCCATTCAGATGGGTATTCCTTATTTGTAAAGAATTATTTGTAATTATTTGTAAGTTTTTACTTTTGTTTTTTCTGTGCTTGCACAAGAAAGTAACTTTTTAGCATTATCAAGTTGGAAACAAAGACTTTAGAAAACTGCTTTTGAAATGAAATATTAATAAGTTATCATCCTGCCCTAATTCTCTAAGTAAAGGTTTCAAACTTTCAGAATTATTTCTACTTTATCTGGGCCTTGCAGGAAGGAATTACTGTTGTCCAGCAGTTTCACCAGATAGACTTCTTTAACATGTGGGGTGGTTACGGAACCTAACATACCTAAAATGTGAATTGTACCTGTGACTTTGTGTATCAGATATAATATTTTTCTTACTGGAATTAAATTGTATCTTGATTTCTGCATTTTCTACTTCATGATAATAAAAAAATCATGAACTTTGTGCCCCTTTGGGCACAGCTCCTGTTTCAATCACTTCTTTTGAAGATCACTATAGAAATGCTCTTTGCAGCGTTAGTCACATCCTTTTGGGAGCAGTCAGTCTCCCTTGGAAAAAAGAGGGCTGTTTTAAGGTCAATTGGAAAGCAACTGGTCACAAGCTTCTTGCAGATTTTATTCAGAAAGAGTAGTTTAGTATCTTGATCTGTTTGCCATGGCACATATGCCATTCTAAATGAAAGCGGTTTTATTGATAATAAAGGCATTATTTAAGCAAAAGTGACAATATTTTAGAACCCATGATAACTGATCCCAGTAAAACTAGGCATTAAATTAGATTCAGAAGGGGGCCACACATAATGAGACACTGATACTAAATTCTTTACTTTTATTTTTTGATCCAGCTGTGTTCACTTGGCATGATTCATTCTCGCAGCGAGTTCCTTCAGGAAGGATTCCCCACAAACCTCAGATTTTTGTTCTTTCTCTGTACTGTTAAAGTTCTTCTTTCTCTGTTATATCAGTCTCTTTTTGGCTGAGATCTTTGATTCCTCCTGAAGATTCCTTTTAAAAAAGGAAATGCAAGAGCAAAGCTGCTTATTACAGATGCTCACAAAGAGAATTGCTCTAGTAATTCCTTACTTAAAATAAAATAGGATTGTATGAAATGCAGGTTTTCATCTTTTTAACCAAAGAACTTGAGGACTTTTTAATAAGATCAGAAGTGGTGCAGATGTTGCTAAAACATGTTTTGTTTTCAATCCTTTACACTGGTTTATGACAAAACTTAGATCAAGCTTTGTGTGCAGGTTAAAGAACTTGGAAAACCATTTTTGGTAAACTGATGAGCATAAGATAGTCTTTCCTGCACAATTTCAGAAGAAACTACCTTCTTTATCTTCTTTGCATGTGAATGCCCTGAGGGGAAGATGAAGAGTTACTCCAATGGGACTTCACATCAAGCACTGTACTGCAAGTAGTCTAATACTCCAGTTTTCTGGGAAAATCTGGTGGGTGTCAGGTAAGGATGGAGAATGTAAACAGATGAGCAAATGCCAATTATGCAAACTTTTTGCTACACAAAGCATGTTGTTCAATGGTGTTTCCTAAACCGACTTTGTTACTTATTCTTTAACATTAAATAAAGAATGAAGAAGAGATGACAGAATATACACAGCTCTAACCTTGTGTGTAAAGACAAGGACTGAACAGGTCTGCTTTAAACACATCACTAAAGAACGTACAACAGAGGGAGACAATAAACACAGGCTTTGGGTGTTGGAAACCAGAAGTGTGCAATGACTGTGCAGAGCTAGATGTCTGATCCTTCCTTGCAGATTTCTGTGTCCCAGTATCAGTTTAGCCATATATCTTTCTCTCTCTGTAACCATCTATTTCAGCAGTGAATTCTGGAGCAAATCAAAGCCTCTGGTGGAAATAAGTGTGAACACTGAAACCTGTTTCTCTACCCACAGACAGTTTCCCTGCTATTTGAAAAGAACGTTAATGATAACTGAGCTACCCTGTGGATCTACTTCTTCACTTCCAGGCAAAATGCGCCCATGACTGGGTGGTCAGTGTCTCCATCTATATATCTGGGTTTTTTGTTGCTTAGAGCTGTCTGCATGGAGCTTCATCACATTGTTCACCTGCAGTATGTCTTTTTGCAGTGAAATGTCTGGGATTAAATAATGAGCTGATCTGGGACACCTAATGCTTGTCTGGTCTGATTTACAGTGGAGGAGAAAGGGTAAAGGAATCAGACAAGAATCACAACCAGATTGCCAAGAGACAGAATAACATCTGCTCTCAGCAGTGTTCTTGCTTTATGAAGAAGAGAAGCCATGCTGGACATAGAAGGATGAGGTGGGAAATGGATATTTGAACCACTTCAGCTATAGATGAAACTTCTTAGGTGGGACTTTTTTCCAGCCAAAATCCTGAAAAAGATTTGCTTATGCCTGCCAAGGCCCAGGTTCTTTTCTGCCATGCAGTACTATCAGAGTGTTAATGTAGTGATTCAGTGATAACATGAGTAGTGGGAGAAGAGGTTTTTTGTGTGATGAAAACAAGGATGTGAGTGGGTGTGTGCCTGCTAGGCAGTGGTATATGACTGCAGCTGGCATGTTCATGCCAAGGTCTTCAGCTTGAAACCAGTTAAGAGCTGGTAAAAACAGACCAGTCGTTGACATGAACTGTGGCTTCAGCCCGTATGTGGGGCTACACTATAGCCAGTTCAGGTATGCCTATACAAGGTGTGAACGTATCTTGGATTGCACAGCAGATCAGTCAGTGTCTGGATCAGATGCCTACCTTTTCTCCTGGTTCTGCTTTTGTCTTGCTTTGTTCTTCTAAGAATTCAGAAAATGCCTCCAGGGTGTGCTCCCCAGCATAGACTACCTCCTGGAAAGAATTTTAAGGTTAAGTATTTATACAGAAACTGTTGGAAATAACAGCATAATTAGCTGCAAGATTCTTTAGATTGACCAAACTCTAGTCTTTTGTGCTCAGCTTAGAAAGCAACGACAGAGGCACAGCAGGTTCCAACATCATCTGAAGCTCAAGTGTAAAGAATAAATATATATCTCTAAGAAGAGAAGGATTTGTATAAAAACAACCATTATTGTATAATACCAGTCTGAGATATTGCTGACTGTTGACATCAGTGTCTTTTCTGTGTCTAACAATAAAAATTTCCAAGATATTTTGAAGAGCGGAGTCTTTAAGTGTCCAGCCACGATACTCAAAGATGTGTAAAGATTTTGGTGGAAATTCAAATCTGAAAAAGTTTTGAAATACGCAGTTCAGAAGTACCGGCTGTTGCACAGCAGGAAGATGAGCAAAGACATTAATTTACTTATACGTCACCTTAATTTGGGGATTTACTGAGGATTTTAATCTGAGGTAATTTAAAAGAAGAAGCACTTTCAGTTTAGAGCTTTAAAATTCTCCAAGTAGGTCCAGGCACCATACTGTATTTCAAAGATTTACCTCTCCTAAGTATGGCAGCCTTGAAGTAATTTTTTTTTATTTTTGCAAGCTTAAGATTCTGGAGAAAGATTATTTGATTCCTCCAGAAGTGATTAATATTCTCAGATGAGTCTTGATTTTTATCAACTCTGGTGATGGCTGGAACAGCAATTTCTCAGAGCTTGAAGACCTTTAAAGACAGAAAAGCAGCTGATCCCTGCACTGGTTACTGAGGATATGTCTCAGCACTTCTCATTAGAGTAATCAGTGCAGAAAAGTATGTAAATGTTATTTTTCTCAACCCTATAAACAAATAAAAACATTAAAAAATAAAAACATAAAAACTAACAGAATCATCTTAAAATCCATCTGAAAGACTGCATGTTTTTCTCTTAAATTTGAAGCAGATGATGCAGTGGATGCATTGTTCATCAGCTTCACAGATGGAACTCAGATCATGCCTGGTCACTCCCTCCTCCATGTAATTAATCAGATTTGCTCTCTTACTCCTTCAGCTCTGGCTGTAACTGGTCCTCAGCATAGAAACACTCAGCTGGTGCTTTGGAAAGCTGCGCTAATACTCAGCTAGAGATCTAGGTCTCTTAGCTCATCCAGCTCCATTTAACTCCAGTTAACCTGAAGTGGGTCCTGATTTTAAAACGTTGTGATGCATCTAGTTTTACATCCACTGAAAGTAAAAGAGGGTGATTTGTGATGAACTTCAGGAAAAGCTGAACCTGTTCCTAAGCAGACTAAAGAGTGACAGTCCACCGGAAAGGTGACTGGAGGCCTGGAGGCCTAGCAGATACTTCTGTAGTATCTGATATTATCTCATCAGGTGGGTGTGCTTGGAAGGGACTGCATAGTTGTGTGTTCTGCCCGTGGTTTTGCCTTTAAGGAGGTGTAAGGGTGTCTGTGGTGACCAGAGAACATAACCCAGTTCTAGAAAACATCTTTGGATCATGTTATGTCAGACACATTTTCCTTGCTTTATCAGGAGCAGGTTCAGACTCCTTTACATGCATTTTGGTGTGCTTTCTAGACTCTTCTGGTGGTTATTTAATCTTCAGAGTTCCTACTGCTTCTGTGCCAGTGTTCAGTTCACCCTTAGTCCTTAAACAATGCGAAGGATCAGTAGAGATAATTGGAAAGCTCATGGTTTTGTGTTTCCAATACTAGCAAAATACTGAAGGCTAGAAAAGATTTTCTGTGATATCAAAGTTGCATGAGGTAGTGGTGTTAGACTGTATATATTTCCTGTTACTCTCTCTTCTTTCTGAAAGTACCAGTTTCTCTTCAGCTCCAAGCCCTTCCTATTGCTGTTCTCATGGCCAGAATAAGGGAGTAGGGATCGTAATTTTGGGGCAGTGCCTATACAGTGAAAAACACAGCAGATAACTCTGACTCTTGACATATTGTGATTATATTGGTATCCTGTTCTCAGTATATACCTTTAGAACAGGAAAAGTATAGGTAGGAGAATTCCTGCTATAACTGTTGGTTGGGTAGAAAATGACTGAGAGTTGTTGCAGGGACTGTGTATTAATGGTTTGGGTGTGTCTCTGATCATTTATGATTGTCTGTAGTAACTAAAGATGTCTGTGGCCAGCTATTCAGGTAGTGCCATAAGAAAGAAGGCCAAAACACTTTCGTCAGTCACTGTGGACACCTACAGGACACCTGTGCTGCAAGTCAAGTACAAGTTAAGATCTCTGAAGTTGAGGGAACATGTATGCACATCTTGCTTGGCACACAAGGAAGAACTTCAGATTTCAAATGCTCTTTAATTTCAGAGTGTAAGTATGAAACAATACCTTAGTAGTTAATGAAAGTTGTTACTGCTTGGTTTTAGGTTTTTTTAACAAACATTTATTATGAGCATTTAATGGGTATCTGCTTTTCTGCATAAAGACTAAATATTGTGTGAGTGTGCAGGACTGCAGTTCAATTCATTAGAAGCTGTGCATGCACATCCAAAAGGAAAATCTCTCCCTTAAAGATTAAATGAGGACATGTGCAAATGTCTTGGAATTTAATTTAAGTTTAAGACTAAGAAGAAAAATGAAAAGCTTAGTAATGTCTTAATTATAATGGTATCTTAGAATTTAATTTTTTTTTCTTCAGAGATATTTTCTTTTTAATTAGATTATCTACATGGATGGAGGAATGTAACTATTTAATATTTGTCTTTTCCTCTTCTTTCAGCGACATTTTTCTCATTACTGTGTAATGTAGCTGATGCATTACGTAGCATATTGCAAAGTTCATTGGTCTTGACAACAAATACTTATTCCTAGTTGAGGCTGGAGTGAAGAAAAACTACTGGCATAAGTGTATACAAGAAAGTTTTGGGATTTGGATTTTGTGAAAATATAGATATAACAAGTGTAGTACCAGCATTTCAGAAGCTGTAGCCATACTTGCTCCAGAAACAACTGGCACAGGGTAGTTCTGTACCTGTACATCTCTTGTCATGGGTTGAAGTAAAAAGGCACTGCAATGATCAAGAGGTATCTGTAAGTTCAGTCCTTGCTTAAAGGACTCCTTTCTCACCAGGACATGCACGCGTACACACACACATTGCCCACGTCAGTGTGCAGCTTTGTCTCCACATTCTTCCCTGACAGCATCTCACCTGGTAATCTGGTCCAGCAGGAAAGAGTCTGAAGAACGGGTAGCGGTCTAATTCAACAGACAGGATGTCGTTTGCTGTGACATCGATCTTCGCAATGATTATGTCTTTGTGACTTTCATATTGCTCTCCTAGCTTATCCCAGATTGGCACGAGTCTTCTGCAGTCATGGGACCAAGGGGCATCTGTAAATTTAAAAATAATAGAAGGATACAGTCTGGCAGAAGTGTGGTCAGTCTCTACTTTAAACCATTCGCCCTTCATGAATTTAATGAGTTTTCATGTAGTGATAACTACCTATTCAATAATGCATTTCTGAAAACAGTGCTGCTTTAGCTCTGTTTAGTTTTATGAGTATAACAAACACACTACACTTGTCATATGACTTTGCTGGAGAGTCACACCAGATAATCAATGCAACCCAAGTAAGTCTTGAATCATTCCCATGGTGAAGTACTTGCCAGAAGCACAAAATCCTTTCTGCATACTAAAATTAACTGCTTTCATAAACTATGCTATATTTAAACTAAAAGGAGGAGTTTGAGCTATGGTGGTGTTTTGACTCTAAGCACTGCACTCAGGTAGGTGACCAAAAAAAGCAAACCGCTGAGAACCCCGTATTCCCCCTTAAACAACATACAACATTATTGCGATCCTTCAGTCATAAGAATAATGCTCATACTCAGTTTAGATGGAATTAAAATTTCTGGGCCATTTTCCTGAATACATCACATCCCATTTACCAGCCTTTCATTTCCAGAGGACTTGGTTCAATTCCTGCTTAGATCAGCTTGTTGATGATACTGAAATATAAAAATGGCTTGCATGAATGAAATCGTTGCAGCCAACAGGGAGGGTTGCAGAAACATACTACCTTAAAGAATTTCTGAAACCGAGGAGATTTCTGAAACCGAGGAGAGTCCAGATAGCTATCTATGTTAATGCTGCATATTTGCTCTACTGAAATAACTAAGGCACAAACTAATACCTGCTGGCTGGTACAGGGATGGGGCAGTGGTTTCTTGCTCAGATGGGTCAAGCAGGAAAGCCACTTCCCTTGCAGAGGAGGAAAAAGTAGTTACAATTTGCTAAACAATTCCTCTCTGGGATTTAATCCCAGAGCATTATAACCAGACAACCTCACTTAATGCTCCCTCTGTCCTTGAAGCACAGCCTGACTCATGCTGTACACCACGCTGTAATGTTCCATTGTACAACATGACATTCTAGTGTCATTTTTCTTTCAACACTGAGATTTGATACAGCCTTGCCATATATTTATTTAAGGAATCCAGTGTTATTCAGTGCAGCCCTAAGTCAACAAAGGTATCACAGTTTTTCCACAGATACAACACAAATTTTTCTTCAATGCTTTTATCAGAACAAAAACAGAACATTGAGCTCATCTTCGGTAAAGTGCAAAGATTGGGATTTTTATGTAAGTATGAGCTTTCATTTTTCACTTCCAATTGATCACGTCAAAGAAACTTAAAATCTGAATACAACAGTAACACTTACAAAACATAACAAAAACAGTCATGGTCTTATTGAAGACAATCCTGTTGAAATTCTTCCCAACAAGCACCTTGACAGGCGTCTTGTCCCAGTCCTCTGGAATTTCTTCACTGGAGAGATGTAGCTAAGCAGAAACAGAAACACAAGTGTGAAAAGACAGGGTGCACTGAGAAACTGTACTCCAGCTCAAGTTAATATGGGGCCGATGGGATGTTTCTTTACCTAATGTACATTATAACTATATGTTATTTTTTATATCTATATTTTAGTAAGCCTTCACGTGCTACCACCTTTTTTCCCTTCAGCAGGGAGCTGGGATCTCGTACCCCTGCATAGTTGGTAGTTGGAATTATTTGTCCTTCTCTTCAATACAGACTCCAGGTTGTGTGAAAATGACCCTTTGAAACACGTTCATTATCGTGAATTCTTGTTGCCCAATGTTCAGAATGTAGACTACTGAAAAGCTTACCTTTTGTGGGCTCACATATGTGATGTAAAACACACAAGAAAGTGTGCATTGCTGCTTAAATCTCTGCCTTCACCACCAACCACTGTCCCTATGTGACTCCTACAGTTTAGAGTATATTATCTGGCAGCTTCTTTTTTTTATGTCACAGCACAGCAGTAGAAAGGCACACATTCCCCATGGAAGTTGTTCCCTGGTGGGAATGTGCCACTCAAGCAGATCTTGGTGGAGAAGAGGAGGCATCTCACCACCTCTTTTGTCTTTCTGCCCCCTGTCAACATTGAAATCAGGATCAGGAATCAAATCTCTTAAATTTGATTTAAACCTGCTGTCAGTCTAACTACTTCATCTTTTTGCCTTGTAATGGAATCAAAAGTAAATCACCCTCAAGAGCACTGAATAGGCAAAACATTTTAATGTATTTTTCATGAGTGTGAAGGATGATGCAGCTTTATGACAACAAATGATCCCCTCCAGTGAAAATTCACTCTGCTAAACTTGCTTACAACAAACACCAAATCTTACTTAACTCTGAAACTGTCAATTTTCTATTTACTGGACTTCCCTGTAACATTAAAATGCATTTCAAACATTGTTTGCATCTCTCCCAACTAAGGGAGTGAAATATCTCCATTTTAGTACTGGGAAAACTGAGACTTAGGGCTTTTTTAACCCACTGAAATACATCAGCTGAAATAAATTAAAATATCGGACCATAAAGTTTTATGCAGTTTTTACACAGGACGACTAGAGAACTTTGTAGTTCATCTCAGCTGTAAAATACAGAGGACTGCTCTGTCAACAACTGTAGATGAATGCATTAGAACGAGCGTAAATTAATAAATTGATGATCAGAACAGTACACTGTTCTAAATAAAAAAGGGATTTTTGCAAATTTGTCAGTCTTTTAGGCCGTGTAGTACAGGGGTGTCTCATTACAAACATGACATACCTTTGCTTTTCCATTTAGGTAGCTCTGGCAAAATTCTTTGAGGTTCTCCACAGTCACCTCATCTGCGGGCATTTTGTACTTTGCATCAGTTGTCAGATTTAGGATTCTCACGGCGGGAACATCAACCTCTCTGATGCGAAAATACTCAAAAATTCGTCCATTCCTTGTTTCATTAGTATCCACCAAGACAAATATTATCTGATAATAAAGACAATGTCATGCATCTGGTTGAGTCTTCCAGCTTTGGGTTAGCCATTTTAGAGAAATGGACCATAAAGCCTGGCAGAGGGATAGGATCTAACCTTAAATGCAAAGAATTTTGAAGAAGCATTTTTTGGTCTTAGTCTGTTAACCAGCAGCTCTGTGGATTTTATTGTACCTTGATCCTAGTTAATAATAGATGCTAAAGAAGCCAAAAGGAGTGGAGTTTTTCCCTCAGTCCTTTCACAGTGGTTTGCTATCACCTTCTTTAGTAACATTTCTAAATTACCCATCAAAGCTCTCATTACTTTACCGGATAAATCTTAACAGGACAAGAGCTGAGACACCTGTAACTCGTATGTCTTTTCCTAATACTGATGTGTGAATATTTTACATTTTTTGGGGTCTCATGTACTTGGAGCAGGAGTAGCACCACAGTGATTGACCATGGAAAACTGAAATACTTCCGTGTGTGACCACCAATAGCTGTTTATATACATGCTTGTTTCCTTAACAAATTCAAAGAACAGTTACTGAATCTGCTTTTAAATGGTGTGGTAGACTCAGAGGATGGAATGACAGCAGTGTGCTTTTACTAGTAACATTGGTAAGTGTTTTTCCATTGATCTTTTGGCATTCTATTTGCAAAGCAGTACAAACCTTTCCTCTAAATTCCGTAGCAGCAGACCTGTAGTTTTCGTAAATCGCATCAAATGTCTCTGAGTTCATTGGGGTGAACAGCAGAATGTGATTTTCAACAGGGACATCAAAAATCTTCACAGATGTCTGGGAAACAAAAGACTTAACATCTGTTCCACTCTTTGTGAGCAGAACAGTGAATCAGAGGCTCAGAGCATCAGTATCATTCTGTTCTGCTTTTGCAAATTTTACTTTTAAGTCTCAGTTTCCAGCCATTTCCATAACCATTTAATTTTTTTCGTTGTTTTAAAGAAGACAGTGAGAAGAACCAGCACCTTCTCTATGTTTTCTCTGTTCCAGGAAAAACCTCATTGTTATGCATAGATTTTTACAGTCAGAAGGGACTATTACAATCTTCTAGTCTGACCTCCCATATAATACACTGAAGAATTAATTCTAAAGATGTGCTGAAAGTAAAAGGCAGTGTTCCCAAGGAGGTCCAACTGCACCAGCTGCAGAAGTTAGACCTGGTTGGGTACTCCCTTCACTTCTGGGTAGCATCAGCAGTTTATGTCTACTTCCCTGCACAGTGCTGCCCTTTTTCTTGTGCCACCCCATGATTAAAGGCAATGGTGTGTCCCCCAGGCAAACAGATATTTCTATGTCTTTTCCTTTCTAGCTGCACTAGCAATTGTTATTGCTGGTTTCTTTCTTCCTTGCTGTGGCCCAGAGGACCCGGTTGGTGCATGGGACTGCAAGGTTTGGAGCCAGGACAGAAACTGGCCTTCCAATATCCCAACCCACCTCATTGCTGCAAAAGCAGCCTTTGTACTGGCTCACAGAAAGGAGGTGTTTGCATGTTCAGGCGAGTCCACTGTCAGGCCAACCATTCTGCCTCCTCTACAAAACGATGTCTTCCCAGAGGGCAGCATCCTTTGGCCTGGATTAGACCAAGAGCTGCCTGTTGGGGTCCGGTGGTGTTTCTAGATGTGTTTAGGGCTGGTCTAGTCAAACAAAGAAGCAAAATTCTCAAATGCTAAGGAGCAGAATAGCTCCCTAGGTCTTTTTTCTGCATGGGTTCTTGTCTTCCCTGTCTTTGTCCTGTGGCTTTTGTTAATACAGTGAAATACACATACCTCAAGATTATATTCAGTGACCAAATCCAACGTAAAGGTTTTGATTAGCCTCAGTAGATCCAGTTTGTTCTGTCTGCCATCTTCAAGCACTTCCTTATGCACAGGTTTTCCCTTGGACGAATAGCAAAGTTTGTGAGGTTGTTGGTCTTACCAACTATAGGAGCAAAGAGAATGTCTTTATATTGTTCTCAACTTTACTATTTCATGATCCTCAGTAACTTAAATATTGAAATATCAAGATATATCCATTAAAAAATATCAATTGTCCAGAGGTTGCTGTTGTCTCTCGTCTGTAAATGCAATATTTTATGTGTTAAACCGTTTGGTTTTCCACTAGGAAATTATTTAAACTGAAAAATTCCCACGCTACCTTTCTGTAGCCTAAAGCTGCATGGCAGCTCACTGCACCTTGGCTGCTAAGCTTGCATTCCTACCTTCTTAAACACAACAAGAGTGTTCTTTTGGATGCCGTAGTTACCACAGACGTCCTTGCTGGCTGTCATCCCAAAAGGCATCTCTGGCACGTCTTTTGCCGTCTCATAGAAAATTTCCACACTGTCATTGTGAAGTTCCTAGTCCCAGAAATAATATTTATTAGGACTGTCCTGCACCCTGCTAGGATGTGTAGAAGTGAGAGCTACAGGTGAGGCAGGCACCTAAAGGCTTGTGAAGTAGATAAGAGAGTATAATTGTGAAGTGGGTATAGCTTGCCATGATTACCTCTGAGGGGAGATCTTCACACTAGAAATCCTAGCCATGCTGTGACACCAGTAGTGCATCCACCTTTCCAGGTAGCGTTGGCTGGGCTGAGTCAATATGAATGGTGTATGGTCCTATCTGTGCTAATCTCATCTGCCTTGCAGTCCCGTGGCATTTCACACTGCAAAGACATCTGCACATGGGGAAGGACTGTGCCAAGAGCTGCCGCCCCGCCGCAGCTTGTCTGCACAGCCAGCAGGATGTGATGGATTAGAAAGAAGGGCTCTCTGCTTGCAAGAGGACCTGACTGATGTGTTTGGTGCTTTGACTGAGTGCTCTTCAAGGGAAGGACCTTGACTCCTACATCTGTCGAATAGTCGCTGTGCTGTCCAGTCTGAACCTAATAGTAAATAAGCATGACGAAAGGCAATAGTGCTTCCAGATTTGTTTTAATGAGACAATTATTTCATGCTAGATGAATAGTAATTTATATGCTGAGACCTCCCAACAAATCCTGGCACTCAAATTTGTGAGCAATCTGTGACTAATAGGAGGCCACATGCAGCTCATTATTTACTTGGACACTATTTTGTTGGCTTCCACCCATTAAATTTCTGACATGCCCTATCTCATGCTTGTCAATTGTCATTTCAGCCCTCAAGTGAAATCAGAGAGTCCAGTCAAACACATCTGCAGGCAATACCTGCTATCAGCGTGGTTCAGAGAGCTCTCCAGCATCACAGCGATAGGAAGGGCTTCCCAACCTGTCCCAGCACTGGAAAACTGCCTTCCTTCATAAATGGCTGGAAGCAGATTGCTGAAAAGCAGAATTCTGGGCACTCTGAGCATTTTCACAGTTTATCGTATTATGCTTCATGTGTTCACCAGCTCTGTTACTATGGGGCATTTTGGTAACAAATCCTGTTTTCCACATCCACAAAGCTTGGACTGTCTCGTATAGGCAGCACATTTGGGACCTTATCAATTCAGAGATACCAGAGTAAAAATCTCCTTAGAGAAAATCCTTGATTGAATGTTTCAGATATTAAAGATTTCAAGGACACATTGAAAAAGCACAAAAAACTATCCCTATTTTAAGTGACTTCCAACTGCATACCTTGACAGCTGAAATTTATTTTGCACTATTTGTCTATGGTTCTGTATCATTCAGCCGATTTACTAACTTCTTGCATCTCGCTAGGAAGTGTGTCTTATATAGTAGCTCTCTTTTGAAGTGTGAGTTTATGTTATGTTACAAATCCTAAGAACTTTATTCAGCTCTGGAAACTAGTAGGAATTTGCTTGGGAAAGGACAAGAGTTGGATCAGGTACAGTGTAATGTTTTATGGCTTCCTACCCAGCTTTCTTAGCTGGCAGGGGCTAAAGACCACAGTTAGTGTGATATTCAGGGAGCTGTCCTCTGGACCCCTCAGTTTCACTTAAGTTGTTTACCTCAAGAAATGGAAAGATGAAGAAAAGGCACTCTAGTATATTAGACAGTATTTACTGCTTTTTTATGGCTTAAGCAAGAAGGGAATATTCACCAGAACAGCCTGCAACTATTCATGTCTGTGATTTTACAGTGTGTTGGAATAGAAATACAGTGATCAGGTAACCCTAGATTTTTAGATCAGTTACTACTCCGAGCAAGGATTACAGCTTTTGCATTTGGAAACTCCAGTACCAGTATAACCCACACCAGCCATGGGTTAAGTCTCTCCAAAGAAAAGGATGAAGTTAAATAGGGATAAGTAGATCAATAGGTCTGCCCTCTTCCCACCAGCCACCAAATTCGGGATGGTCTGGCAGAAGCTCCTTCCCCAAGGACACAGGAAAGTCTGCTGTGACCAGGGCTGTGCAAACAGTGCTGCAGCATCATGCTCTCAGAAGCTGCTCTCAGAGTTGTAGGTCTCTGCACCTGTGTCCCTATTCAGGAAAAGTGCTGTGGTGTGAGATGCTTGTATCGCTGCCTGGACTGCTTATCTAGACACGTGAAAATGTAGATAGAAACAATTAAATGTAAGAAATACAGAGAAAGCTGGGTGCCTGGCTTTTTCAGCTCAGTCCTAGGTCATTTGGATGCATGGGATTTGGTGGCAAGGACAACTTTTAGGAATCACAATATCCCAAAGTCAGAACAGAAACCATCCTTCCGAGTTTTCCAGTGAATTACCTTAAAAAAGCCAATCACTGCCAAATCATCAGCATGTATGATGGCTTCAGCCTGATCAGTAGAGTTGATTAAAACAGTACTAGGTCCTGTTCTTCTTTTTACCCATGTGACAAAGGCTGAGGCCTTTCTGACTCCTGTAGAAGGAAAAGAGAGTTAAAATGACCATCAGAATGAATGACAAAAATTTCTGTGTTGTCAAGGTAGAGGCCACGGAGGTGCAGAAGGATGCTGAATACAAATGGACTCTGGGCTCCTTCGGACTGAAGTCAAAACTCATTCAAAGTGGACTCAGGGCATCCAAATTCAACTTCAGTTTCTAGGCACCGTTTAAATTATTGCCAACTCTAGAAGATCAAAGATGGATCAGTATTGTGTTTTCTGGGACCTCTGCAAGTGGCTGTATGTCCAATTAACTGCTTAATCGCAGATGAAGAATAAAGATGAGGAAATTCAGACTAGATAAACCTTTTCTGCAAGGTTTCATGTGTCCTAAAATCACAGAAAGCTATAAAAAGCTATCGACCCAAGGCTTAATCCAAAATTACTTCAAACCAATTGCAGATTTTATTGAACTGTCTGTTCAATTAAATTAGGTGTCAAAATTGTTCCTTTGGTGTTACAGAAGGGATCTGATAGGCACAGCGACATGTTAAAATTCCCCTGTGGTGCTGCAGCTTCACTTTTCAGTTTAGACATAAGAAACAAAGCCGAAGTGTCTGTGTTGTCCTTTAATTCTAGATTGTTCCATCTCTTGGGTTCTAAAGTAGTGCTACCAGTTTTACTGTTTATTTGGCAAATTGTCTTCAAGCTTTCACCAGTTTTAGGAATCTTGAGTGTCTGTAAAAATACATTTTATAGCTATTGTATTTTCAGAGGAATTGGAGTCACAAATTGAGGCTCAGGATGAAAAACTCAGCCCTTTCCTTTCTGAATCTGACATCCTTGTTGGACCAGAGCAAGAGTCCAGCAAAGGGTTAATGAAAATTATATATGAAAAAGAAGTCTGTATGCTACGAAGTGCTAGAGTCAAGATGTAAAGTGCATGTGGATTATCAAAGATGCAAGTCCTGCTACTGTGCATATTAGCAATATGATGAGATCAAAATTGAGTCAGACCATTTTACTGCTATCAAGTCATTTTGCAGCAGGCTGGACTGCAACTACTTTAAAATATGATTTTTTTTAAGGTGAAGTAGGCCAACATCTGCTCTGGAGTGCAGAGGCTGTAGAGCAAAGCATGGAGTACTTAGTGGCTACACAGTGCTTGACTTCTGTCTAAATGCAAAAATGAGCTCAATTGATACAACCCCTCAGCAGACTTTTTATGTGGTTAGTCTTTCTATTGGGTTGCTTTCAACAGCCTCTGTAGGTTGTTTCTTCTGGTCAAATTCTGGCCTTGGAGTTGTAAGTGATGATTTTTACAAAGCCTAGGGTTTGGCTTTCATGGTATGTCCATTGTCAGGGCAACCATTAAAAAAAAATTCCTCTTTCATAAAATATTTAAGTGGATGTCCTGATTGAAGCAAGGTCTGCTGTTTCTTTTGTGGAGAAATTCACAAGTTCTGTATGAGCAGTCATTGAGTGGTCACTGCACATTTTCAGTTTTCAGTTCTCAGTGGTTTAAAAACGTTCGTAAGGTCTGGATTTCCCAGCACTGCACAAATCTGTCTTATTCCAATATTGTTGTCTTTGCTTAATAAATTTCTGTAAAATATTTCAAATTATTCTATGGTTTTTCTGAGCCATATATGAGCTCCCTCTGATGGCTAAATTGCAAAATTATTTTCCTTGGCTTAGGAAGTATACCTGTATATTAAGGAACTTAGTAAATTCACAATCCATTGTTAGATACACAGAGTATTGCTCCAGCGTACTTCTGTAGGCACGCTACCTGTGGGAATTGCAGTGAATTAGAAGTGTGAACAAGAGCAGGTTTGGGACCATATTCTTGTTTGGTGTAACCCATTTATTTATGTTTATTTTAGTAAATGGGAGTAAGTTGTCTTGTCAGAGGGATTCTCTGTACTCAGTGGAATTACACCAGCAATGAATTTGGCTGTGTGAGCTAAACGTAGAGAAGCGTATTCAGTTATACACGTACAAGAAGGAATTCAAATCCGAGTTCTTGTATTGGTACAGAGGGAATTGTATGTTTAAAATGATGGCCAAAACCAATTTGCTAGCTTGCGTGTTCTTTATCTGAGCATCTATATTTTTATTCTCAGTGACATAATAGATACCAAGCTGTCATAGTAGACAGCATCTTGTCATTACATATCATTATCTTACCGGTGCATAAGACAGTTTACCTTTGCAGTCTATGGGATCTTCCCTGATGCCATCAACAAAAAATTTCACAGTAGGAAACTCTCGAATATTAAATTCTTTTCTCAAATCATGTTGGTGTGTGACATCAATTTTGCCAAATTGGATTCTTGGAGCTTCTTTTTTAAGCTGTCGTGCAGCCTCAGCAAATTCTTCAGACAAATTCTGAGATGACTGAGATAAAGAAACATCTGAAAAGGGTCAAATAAAAGAAAATGGGTTACATAGACCACAGCATGAAGCTTTCTAGTAGAGATTGTTGTGTCAAGTAGTAGCTGTAGGGGTTGAGAAAGGTCTTTTATGGCTCAGAAATAAATGAGAAATTATTTTTACTTTCTATTTCTTTGTCTTGATGCTGATTGTTCACCACTCCATATGTCCCTGGGCCAGTCCCAGTGAACAACTAGTAGGATTGCAATAGTCGTCTCTTGGGAAGAAATGACCTGGAGTTAAAAAGTAGTTTGACTGGCCATGCAGGCTATGAGTTAAAGGGAGGTCAAGGGTACAGTTAGATATTACTCACAGCAGGGCTCTTTATAAGTGCTTTTTTTTTGTAAGCACTTTACTGAGGCAAACCTTCGTGATGCAGAAAGTAGTTTTCCAGATTGCATATGGAAAAGGGAAGGAGACCATAATAGACTAAGGTCTTTTAGAGACTGGTGATGTATTCCTGCATACTGTGCTGTATGCCAGCCCTTCTCTAGCTCAAATGGCAGTTGTGTGTTTGGAGGAAGGAGGAGGGCCTTCCAGGTCTGGGTCATGGAGCTGTAAGTTATACTAACATGACAAAAGACAGAAGCTAGTCATACACTGGCTGATTTGTATTCAAAGTCAAATATAAGACGTAAAGGCCTGGAGCTTTACAGTTTTGCAGCTTGGGTTGGAAAGAAGATGAATTTTACTTTGATAAAATTGAGATACCCTTTCTTGTTAAATTTGTTTTATTATAAAAAGCAAAATCTTTTTCTTTAGATTCTCCATGGAAAATATTTAGTTCTACAATTTACTTTTTGAATAGGAACAGATGAAAAATATGTGTAAGTATATGTGTGTATACACATTCAAATATAGACTTACACACACAGAGACATTTGCACCAAAGCATATCTCTAATAAAGTAACTGTTCTCTCACAAAATTACAAATGTACTTCTCTACACGCTACCGAGGGAAGATATTGCCCAACATAACCATTGTAGGACAAGGCCTGAAGAGCAGGACCCTGAGTACTGCTCAAGTCATGACCACAAAAGGGGTAAACAAGGACCTGAAAACCAGGAATTTCAACCCTGAGAAAAGCAAGTTCCAGGCACCCTGATGCGAAAGGCCTCAGGGGCTGTGTCTGAAAGGCAAGAGGTGTTTGTTAGTGTAACAGTGCATCACTGACCGATCAAATGCAGCCGCCCGCAAAGGAACCAATCAGTTTAAAATACGCAGCCAATGTAAGCATACATAAGGAAACAACTGTACACAATAAACCGACATTTTGCTTGCATCAAGCTGCGTCCCGTTTCTCAATCGCCACAATTATAACCAAAAAGTGAAAGAACATTCCAGTATGAATTCTTCTGGTGGACTCCAGCTGCTTTTGACCCCTCATCCAAGGACTGCCTGATGCTTTAAAGATAGACGCGCAGGCCCTGAGGGAGCAGATGCAAAGCAAAACCTCCAGCATGCAGCGCCCGAGCTGCCTCGGCCGAGGTGCTGCACAGTGCGGTCACGAAGGAGCACGAATTAGGCTGGGCGGACCCGGGCGGTGGCGCCGGCGGGGCAGGGGGTCCGGCAGGCGACCTGCAAGCCTCGCCCCGGACAGGACCGTCCCCGGGATCCGGAACCCTGTAACGGCCGGACGGGACGAGGTGGTGGTGCGGGG